TGTGTTGTGTACTTGTTTACCACCCATCTGTATCATGTAGCGGTCGAAGTACGATCGTTTTCTTCCTTGCGAGATAAAGTGCAAGTTACTGAATCACAATATTGTAGGTCTTTTATTCCGCGCTATTTCTGAAAGCGTGTGTCTTTAGAGTCTGAAGCGTCCTCCGGGATATGCGGTGAAGAGTGCTTGTCGGGCAACTGTTGGTGGGCGCCGGCGGTGTCACCTGCGGTAGTGAGTTTTTAGCCCCCCCCCCTTTAGCCCCCATTCGCTTGTAACTACTGTCAGTGTTGTTGCGATTAGCCACGGCTCGTGTATCGCTCGTTGTGTGTCGTTTTTAACCCGAAACCTATGTGGCAAGAGCCTTAGGTTTGGCGTCGGTATCCCGTGCTTTGGTCGACAGACATGTTCGCACGTAGACAAGGAATGGAGTACGAAGTGTACAAGGTTTGCAGATACCAAGGTTTGCAGATAAAATCGAAAGAAGTCTTCGGCATCTAGATAAACAACGTTTTCCTGGCACTTTAGTTTTTTCACTGCGTGCGGTGTAGTCTAGTCCTTTCGTGCGACAACGTCATACACACCACGTGCCGGTGGTGCTCACCAGTAGTTCAGAGACCGCAAACGGCATCGGAATCCAACCGTGTGCCAATGACAGACATTCCGGAGACCTTCATGCGATCAAGTCGTGAATACTTGCAAGATCATTTGTTCCATGTTTATTCCATTTCTTCATCTCGAAACCAAGGCGCTGATCTCTGCGAAAATGCAATACACATCTCCCGGCGAGTGCGCCTGCAACATGCGACGAAACATACGGAATTTTCAGATCACACCATTGCACCATCGGTTGTTCCACCGAGTTGTGCCTTGCAGCACTCTTTCTCCAAATAACCCCAGCGAATTGAACGACAAACCCAGCGAACTCAAAGTCATGCGGGGGCACGACGCCCTGCAAACTAGCCAAGCGCAAACCTTGAGGGTCTGCTCGAAACTCTTGTAAGTACGAAACCCTCTCCACCCCCCCACCCCACCCCTCAGGCTCCATGATCAGCCTAAAACACGCGCTCGAGAATCACGACAATGCCTCCGCAATGGCCGCTGGTATGGCTTCGTCTCCCGGCCACACCGCGCGGCACGCCTGCGTGAAGCAGTCCCTCCTCGTGATTTGAACGCCACGACCCCTCGCGTTGAGGCGGGTGCTCACGTCGAACGAAGCCTGCACGTTGCGGGGGAAAAAACGACGACGTAGGCTTGTTTTTTTAGAGCGTGCACTCCAGTCTTTCGTGGGAAAATGGAGAGCCAACAAACTGTTACGTGGCATGCAGTATCTGTGAGAGACAGACGTTCACGCAATGGGGCGGCGCGTGCGTCTTTTTCTCCGTTCGGACTACTAACCGCCCGTTCGGATTACAAAACCTAACTTCGGACAAGACAGAAAATTATGCTCGGCCTCCCCAGTACATCGTTACCCCTACTACTGTCTAATGCGGGGAGTACAAAGCTGCGGGCTGCCAGCCTATTCGTACGAAATGGGAGAGTCTCCAACCTAACTGATACGGAAGATAACACCATATCTGTCTCAAAAGGGGAGTCGACGCGCTGGGCGCCGCTTGTCTTTCCAGAGCATTTGCTGAGCATTGCGGAGGTTCATAGGGATAGGGTTGCTGTAAACGCGTCTTTCAGGTCTCTCATCCCTCTTTCCTGTCTACTTCGTGTGGTGATATGATCTGTCTGGCAGCTGCATTGATCCGCAGGCTCGAAAAACACACGCACGTTAGTCCAGGTTGAAGTTTGTGGGCCTAGTGTACTGCTGTTGTAGCACTCTTACAAGCCACCATGTCAAACAAAGCTGAACGTGAAGCACACCTATAATACACGAGGTGCAACGCGCACAGCAGGTGCACAACCGATCTGGGTCAGCAGCCCATCATTTGTGGGGTTGCCAAATATCAATTGTACTATACTTACTTGATTCCTCAGACGCTTCGCTGTGACCTGCCCCCCCGAGCTCCTCTCGGCTGCCTTTGAGAAATCTACATCCCCGATCCAGCGGGAGTGGTGGTACCCGCAGAGTCCGGGGTGCTGCTGAGCTGCGGTCCTCCTTGCTGCCAGGTCCCTTATGTCTGGGAGGGGCTGGGGCTCGTTGTCCCCGTGGCAGCAGAACCGCTTCCCAACCGCCCTGGCTGCAGCAGATGTCGCCTCGGGCAGGAGCTGGGGTGTTGTGTCCCGCGATGAGAACCAGCTCGTCCCACACAACTAGGGGAGCATTCACTGGGTCCCACTCAGCCGCTTTGGCCTCCCAGAACTGAGCGATGTCCTCTGGGTCCATGGTGGTGATGTTGGTACTGCTGTACTGCTGTTGTTGCTGCTGTTGTGCTGGCAGGCTGTGGCGGAGTGACAAAGTGTCAAAAAGAGACACCCGCCCCCGTGCCTTCGCGTTTTTGAGAGGGTTTTCGTGACTACAGGCACGATAGGAGGCATGATAAAACCTGTCTTTATCTGGTACGATAAAGCATGCTCTCGCTGTTGACTTGTGTGCCTTCTTCCTTGCCTTCGGAATGTGGTTGCAGAACTGAAGGCCAAGCTTACGAGGCCTCTCCCCGAGTTCTCCTGCGCGCGTGTGTGTTCGAGTGTATTCCTTGTCCGTCTTCAACCAACCGCCACCACAAGGCATAGTTTATCTCTCGCGCGGCTCGTGCTTGCTGCTGCTGCTGCGGCGGGCTGCTGCTGCTGCTGCTGGTGCTTTTTCATTTCGTTTCGCATGCATGCATCCAACAAACAAACCGCGTGCGTGTGTGCTTCTTGTCTCCGCTGGATTTACCACCCAACCAAGTGGCATTGGAGGCGGTGCCATGCCTTGCGCCAGTGTGCTGCATCGGCGGCGGGGTAGAACTGCTGTGCATGCGATGTATCTCTACTGCTGCTGCTGTATCCATGTAGACTATCACCATGTAATCGTGTTTGGGGTAAAGAAATACGGCGCCCTCTCCTCTCTCTCTCCTCCGGTTTCCGACAGCACCTACATACAGCAGTACAGCAGTCAGTGTAGTTATCGGTCACTCATCACATTCTTCACGTGAGGGTTACGCTGCTGTTGGGCACTAAACCTTTGTGGCACCATGGGGTGCGTGCGGTTGACCCATGTGGGAACCTGTTGGTGCGCAAACAAACGTGCAAACGTTCAAGTGCAGGTGTCGTGTGTGTGTGTCTCATGACTCATCGGTCTATTCGGTCCCGGCAGAACAAAAAAAAACGCGGAAGATCCAGAAAGAACCCAGTCACGAAATTATCACATCATTTTCTACGAAGTTCGTTCGCTGCGTACCTTCAAAACGAAACTCTAGACTGACTCAGCCACTCGGCACTCGGCCTTGTCCCGAACCCTTCACCGGCGGCGGAATCCGACCTTTCTCATGCCGAAACGTTTTTTGTCTGCAAGGGAGAACCATGTGTGGGTGTTTTTTTTTTTCTTGGGTGTGAGCTGGCTCGTGTGCTGCTGTGACCCAGAAGGGACCAGCTTGTTTTGTGGACGCAGTCCCTACCCATCGGTGCTCACATAGGACCGATGCGGTTCCCCTGCGTAGTCCCAGGCTCGCTTCTTCTGACGCAAGCCCTGGGCTTTGCCTTTGTTGGCTTGCGTCCACCTTTGGGCTTGAGCGGAACAAGCAGGGCACGCTTCGGCGGATCATCAACAACGTCACACGAGCAACAGCAACAACATCGGTGCTTGCGGATTGGTGTTGGAAGCAGAGGCGGGGCGGGGAGGGAGAGCAGTGTTCTTGCAGGCATCAACGGCGAGGAGGATGACGTCGATGTTGTCCCTGCAAGGTGCGGCAACGAAATGAACTACGTGCCTAGTATGGTTATAGAGAGCGGGTCAAGCAGTTACACTTTTCTCTCTCTCTGAGTCAATCGATTGAAGAACCAGGAGAGGACTCAAGGGTAGATTGTAGATTGGACCAGAGGGCAACCATAACGCGCAACCCATTTTGCTGTGAAACATGGGCAACCTGACGCAATGATGTGTGTGTCAGATACGTTCGGCGCGCGGCTTTGCAACGTAGCATGTCGCTTTAGGAAAACATCTTGGGTGTTGTAGTTTGACTCGCCTGTGCTGATACATCCGGTGGGTCCACAACAATAGACTCATGCTCTCGAACATCGCAACACAGCAGTTCGTGGCATTACCGCACTGTTGCTCTTGCCGACAGGCGCCAACAACAGTCATGCGCAGTGGCCAGTACCCAGTCGAAATTAATGCACAGATTCGATGACTGATCGCACGTCCCGGCCGCGGACACGACATCCGTGCGGCAGCACGCAACAGCAGCAGTGGAACGGACAGCGTGTCGCGTGCACTTGCAGCCGAGCCTTATCCACCTTCGCGCCACGACGTTCCACCGTTCTCTCGGCAGCATCCTTAAACCCCAAGAATTTTTCCGGCCGCAGCATGCTTATTTTGTATGCATGTGTGAACACTGGCATACAGCAGCAAGAAGGAGCTTGTGCCCCCGTGGTCTCCTCGTAACTGCATTAACCGGTGTGCTCATGACGTCACAAGACCGTCCCGCCGTCCCACCCAACCTCGCCATGGCTGCCGCAAGCATTTCCCGGGGGGTTAGGGTAGGTGCGACGGAAGTAAAAGCCCAAAACACGCGGGTGGGGGTGGTGTGTACTTTTCTCCTCTCGGTTCCTCCCAAAACCCAATCCCCTCTCGTAATGCTTTGGAATAGGCAACAGCCCCCATGCATGAAAACATGTCCAAAACTTTAACAAACGTCCGGGGAGCCAGCTCCCTACCTCCTTCTTGATTGCACCCTGCCATGATCGAATCGATCGCACGCGCGACCTTTGTCAGGACCTTCGTCTCCAGCAGCAACCAGCCGGAGCGGATCTGCGTCCTCGGGGGAGGATTCGGGGGTCTCTACACGGCCCTGAGGCTGCAGAAAATGCCGTGGCGGGGGCGGAGACCAGTCGTCACGCTCGTCGACAAGCGGGACAAGTTCACGTTCTTGCCCCTCCTCTATGAATTTGCCAGTGAGCTTTCATGCCTTTCCTTTTGCCGTTCTCGTGTGTTGCGTCGTAGCCTCTGAAATGGAACATTTCCCCGTGCCACAACTAGACGATTTACAAGCCGTACGAAAATGAAATGCTCTGTTGTCACGCACCCATCGCGTATGCGATGTGCAACTCTCCCACCCCCCCCCTTCCGTATAGAGTTCTCACGACTATACAGCAGTACACTCTCAAACAGCTGCATGGAGTGTAGTTTGGGAAACGTCTAGCTGGAATAGCTAGGTGGTCTGATTGAAGACTACAAGCAGTACCCCCGGGTTGGAAACACATTAGACACCCTCCTTAACTCCGCTTGTACGCTGTTGCCTCTACCCATCCCTTCCAAAGCACCAGAGGTGTGTTGTTATCGCTGTTGTTGCAGAGCAGTGGCTGCTTGAGACAAGTCAGAATTGCGGAGCCCAAGGTTGCGCCCTGCTTTCGACGGTCCATCGTTTGGCGGAGAGGCAACATGAAACTACGTTTAGAAGCACTCTCTCATCTTTCTTCTGGCTCTTACTGTTGACGATGTAATGGCTCGCTCGAAAAACAACGCAGTTGGAAACGCGGAGCTGGACGAGGTTGCCCCGACCTTCCGCGAGCTACTGGCGGGCAGCGGCGTGTCGTTCGTGCAGGGGTGCGTTTCCAACATCGACCTAGATGGCAAAGGGGTGACGGTTGCTGGCGCCACGTCCGATGATCTCGACGGTTTCATGATCTCCGACAACGCCGACGAAAGTGAGGACAGATTGGGGGTGGGGGGTGCGCACTTATTTTGGTGTCTACCTCAGTCAGTTGAACGCTGATCTCGCGTCACCCTCTCTCGAGACAGCGAATAATTCGTGCTCTTGACAGGTGCAGACCCTATCCTCTGAAATACCATTTCTCTAGAGACAGTACAGGAGTCGTTTTGATGGTAAACCCCTGTCCCCCCCACGACTCCCGTGCCGCGCCGATTGATGTTGTTTGCAAGCAGCATCTCCGAGATCTCCGAAGCACGGCAGACTGCGTACTTAGCGCAATCGAAAATGACCTCAGGGAAGCTAGAATCTGCGAGCAGTGATTAAAAAGAAGAAAAAGAAAGTCGCAACAGACAGACGAACAACTGCAACTCCCGCCGTAGCGCAGACGCGCACAAGGATGCTCCATACTTCTACGAACTAACACAGGCTGTTTCCGAAATTAGCACGAATCTGGCTCACGTGTGTGCATATGTTTTTTTTTGTTGATGCTGCAGCGAGAACCCTCGAGTACGACAAGCTCGTGCTGGCGGTCGGAGCGGAGCCGGCGTCGGGAATCGACAAGGTGCCCGGGGCGAGGGAACGCGCCATCCCCTTCTACAGCATAGAAGACAGCTACCGCGTTAAGCAGGCCATCATCAAGCTCAAGGTGCAATTTTTTCCTGTTTACGGGCCTGCTACTGCAGTGGGATAGCCAGCCAAGATATTTTTTTCACGCGTGTTTTGCTTCCGAAACACGAAATATTGAAAGCTCCCTACTCTGTACTACGCCTCCACATATCCACGGGAACCTCTTCATGGTGCCTGGCATGATGATAAGTGGGCGTGGTCAGCTTGGGCATGCGCCATACAAGCCCCGCCCAGTTGCGTGCTGCATGAAGAAGGGAGTTTTTGTTGTGGTTGCACAACTTACACTTTTTGTCCTTGGTTATCCTCCCGCGACTGGAGTTTCCCCGAGTCTTGTCCGTTCCTTGTTGTTGTAACGTGGTGTTTTCTGGTGCTGAGATAGTGGTGGCCATGAGATTTATCTAACACCGGCTGGGCGGCAAACGAAAGATGAAGTGTGTTCTGCGTATGGGTGAAAACGCGTGTCAAAGTGCACGGTGACAACACGCCAACAGAAAATGGTAACAGCAGCGACAACAAGCCACTAACCTAAAATATCAACAACAATAGGCCCTCGTGAGGGAGAAGGCGGTGTCGCGGGTGGTCGTTGTCGGTGGGAGTTACGCCGGGGTGGAGCTGTCATGCAACCTCGCGACGGAGCTGGGCGGCGGGAGGAAGGGGATGGGCAAGGTGGAGGTCACGCTGGCGGCAGGCTCGGAGGTGAGGATCGAGCAGAATATTACCTGCGAGGATGAGACACACATCACGAGGACGTAATTCTTTACTTGCTTAATTCATTGCTAGTCTTCCCTGGAATTTATTTTCTGTGGAAGAGATTAATCTGATGTGTGTTTGTAAGAAAAAAAAAAAACACTGAGGATGATGACACACATACATTGGAAGTGCATCACATACAAACACGTCGTGGGAACGACACGCACCTCGTAAGGATGATGATACAAGCCATCGTAATCAAGGGGGTGCATGTATCGTGAGAGTGGGACATCGTGATGGTCGCCGGGGCGGTGAGCCCTGGGTGTGGCAGTGGGGCAGGGACGGAGGGTGTACTGATTGATCGCGTGTGGGCGATGTACTCTGCGCGCACGCGCCCTCTCAATCTCTGTGTCAGCGCGGCCCTCGGCACCCGCGAGTAGGCCTGGCAGGCGGTGTTTCTGCTGCTGTTGTTGTGTTTGGCTGCTGTTGCTGTTGCTGTTGCTGTTGCTGTTGTTGTCGTTAAGGCCTGTTTTAATGTTAAAAGTTTGCACCTTAGTCGAGGCCTTGCAAAAAGTCAGTTTCGGGAGGTTGCCGGGGGCCAAAGACGCTGATTGGTCAACAGCAAAAAATACGATGAGGCTTTCTCTGCCCTGAAAAGCGGGAATTCGATATTGGGTGCAGCAAAAAACAATCGCAAATTGTTTTTGCTGAATCGAAGTACCCGAGTTGCACTGCGCCCCTTTTGCGCCCCCCGTGATGAGCTGAACTCGTCCTGGCGTTACCCCTCACGGGGCTGCATGTGGCACACTGACCGTGCGGCACCCACACGCATCGCCCACTGCCCGCTGCTGGGAGATATAGCTGTATTGTAATGGATCTGTGAGCGTGCCAACTTTTCGCGCTGGTTGGGTTGCTGGGGAACTTGCTTTCCAATGTGTGCGATGTCAAAAATCTACGGCCGGTTTTGTGCAGCGAGACAGTTAAAACAACAGTCGTGGAGCAAGCCTGAGGACGAGGCTTGGACCGCTGGCACCACCTGCTGATGCTTAGCTTCGTGTGTGTGCTGATATATTTTTTACAGCTCCCGTGTGGTGCACATGATCTATCGCTCTACCTGGTTGGGTCACTACGTCACCTCGCGGCAGCGATTCCACCGCATGTTGCTGAAATTCGATGTGGCAAAATTGCGTTAAAACGACGCAGGCCCTTCTTGGCCAAAACCCCAAATTGGTTCATCCAATTAGGTATCCAATTTAGGTGACAAAAATAAACGTTAATACACGGCCTTACGGTCGTCGGCGTTTTCTTGTTTGGGCATGAAATATGGTACAGAAAAATCGAATTAGCCATGGACGGAAAACAAAAAAAACGATTGGTGTTGATAAAGGACTGGCAATCGCAAGAGAGTCTACGTAGCACGTCCGCGAATGGAAAACATGCAAAGTACTAAATAGTGTGAACCCCTTGTTCCTCGGCTAAACCCAGGTCCTCTCTATGGCGACTCCCGGCAACCGCGAGGCTGGGCTGCGGCGGTTGACGGAATCTGGAGTCCACGTGATGAAAGGGGCGAGAGTGTCCGAAGTCAAGGAGGGCGGCGGCGTCGTGCTGCAGCAGGGGGAAGGAAAGGCAAGAACTGTTGTTTGCGTTGCCTGTAAACTGCTGTAGGGTTTAGAGTTCGGCAGCAGAGTACCGATGCTTGACGGCAGCAGACGGACGATGCATTACGGCAGCAGACAACCGATGCCTCACGGCAGCAGAGAAAACGATGCTTCACAGCAGCAGACAACCGATGCCTCGAAAACATGACAGCAGACGTACATGACGATGCACCGGTTATTGGTGGCAAACCCTGGTTCCGAAGATAGCGGAGGGACCCCGTGGTCGACGTGGGATGCAAACTCTGAGGACGGAGCGAGAAGAGGTTTTCTTGTAAGGTCGTGAAAAATCGTACACGTACGTACATGGCGTGTCCTTTAAGCGCAGGGTGGCGTCTCCTGAAGGTTGCTCCGATGTGGAGGAGGGGCGGCGCGCGGTTACGCCGAGGCAGAGCGGATGCTGATGTTGCCCGTAGCTTAACAGAGTTGGAGACGTAGGGGATCTTGAGCAAGAGCGATAAGCCACACCCTTTATTTGTCCTTCCCCAACAAGGTCGATTTTGACACATGGAAATATGACGATAGGACACCAGCCCGACGACCACAAACGCACCTAGACAGCCCTCTTCAGAACAAAGGTCATTTGTCATACACTTTCCCCGGCGTGATATGAAACGAAATCCCCGACGGGCTCCGCCCCTGGTGCGAGTCAATCTATGCTACACGCTACGGCATGCGTGGCGATTTGTGTCCTCCTCACTCCACCCCACCCCGCGGTGTCGAGTAAACTAAAAGGCTTTGGCCGCTCTTTTCATCAAGCATCGTTTCACACACACCCCTTGCCCTCGTCGAATGCTCTACTCCTAGTAGGACAAGACTTTTGAATCCAGACTACCGGTCTTTCCCCTCAAGCAATATCCCTGAGACAAATGGCCACGTGCACACCCACAACCCACCGTCGTGGATACAACAACACAACCAACACAGGGCACCGACTCCACGTTCCGTGAGGAGATAATGGCCGATCTGCTGGTCTGGACAGCCGGCAGCCAGCCCAGCTCGCTGCTCGACTCCCTCGACGTTCGGAAGGATGCCAGGGGCCGCATCGAGGTCGACCGTAGGCTCCGTCTTATAGACGCGGCTGGGAACGACGGGGGGGTGGGGGATGTGTATTGCCTGGGGGACATCGCGGCTGTGGAAGGGTTGGAGCTGGGCTGCAACGCACAGGTGTGTGTGCGCGCGTACCTCTTGCGGTGTTTCCGGGTGTGAGAAAACGCTGCTGTTTTGTTCATGGTTCGGAAGAAGCGTGTAGTTTTGTTTTTGGTGTACTGGGGAAAAAATGCTGCTGTTGTTGTTGTTTTTGTTGTGGAAGTAGCCTTGGAACCGAGCAATCACGAAGAGAGGGCACGAGGACAGCAGTGCGTCCGTCACCAGGTATCAAGGCAACGGCTCTTGGTTTAAGCGGCAGGAAGTCAGCGCTGCGTCTGCCGTGGGCGCCCTCGGCAACTAGGCAACAATCGGAGCCGAAACCGACATCATGGGGTGCGTTAATGATTGCGAGCGCCTAGTCTCTGACGAGAAAACACGATCGAACACCGCTGACGGCAGCCACGGACGGACATGACAGAAGACCCACAAGCGCAAGTTCTTTGTGAGAGCTAGCTCTAATGTCTCAATTTGTATCGTTCGTCCAGGATGTTTATCACTGCCGTTCGAATTCTTGGCTCAAGCTGTGTAACTCGAGCTTAGCCCCAAACAACCTCGCAATGATCTACCTGATGATGAAGCCCGCCGGGTACATCTAGTAAAAGTAAATTTTACCTCAAGCTGTGTTGAAAGTGGGTTCGGAAGTAAGTGCCTTCTCGAAATTTAACTTGGCATCTCGTGAGTTCAATCTCGTCCCTAGCTACAGAGTTGGGGGGCCTCGCTTTGGCTGTTGCCAGGATGGTCCATTGCCCTGTTTCGTTCCAACTATTTGGTTGGATATGTCAGGAAACAAAGAGCGATAAGACGCTGTTCTTTTTTGCGTAGTTTCCGCACAGAAAATAAATCCACACAAACCGACAGTATTTTCAACCCACTTGCCGTGGGCCAAAAAAGTAGCGAAGACAATCGATCAACACAACGCACGTTCGCATTATTTTTAATTGTGTCCGGCGTCCTATTACGTCTTCCCCGATGATGCACATCAATATCATATTGTACAACCATTTTTTTTGCGTTCATTTCTCGCAGCCATGTGTCACGATGTTTTTTTTATCAGCGGATTTTTGTTTCCCACGACAACCCCTCGCATACAAAAACACTAATAAGGTGGCGCTCCAGCAGTCGGACTATGTGGCGTACAATATCTGGGCGGATAAGGAGCGAAGGAAGCCGCTCGACTTTAGGTGGGTGTGTCCGGTTGATTAAGTTGTTCCGGCGTGCGATCAAGTCATCCGCAAGAGGTTTGAGGTTTAGCTTCCATGGTTTTATTCTCTATTAATTTCTGTTGGAATTTGGGGGTTTCCGACTTTTGATTGTGCACTTTGACTACGTCCTGTTGCTACTGCTGTACCGTGTGGTGTGACGGTTCGCTGTTCACCTGCGAGGTCTTCGTGCGTCTTTCTTTTTCTCCTTCCGGGAGGGTGCATGATGTAGGCCACGTACTTGATGGCGTTAACGCTGGTGTGTGCGGTATATCAGCTCGAGGCGTGCCGTAACATACATACGTGATAAATAGATAATCTTCCGTTCGTCTTGCTGTCGTTGCTGCTTGACCTTGCTTTCTTCAACCCTAGATTTTTGAACCTCGGAGAGATGATGAACCTCGGCGGGCTCGACGGTTCGTTGACGACGCTAGGCGGTCGGGTCAAGCTCAGTGGGAAGGCGGCGGGCCTCGCGCGACGAGCCGTATACGCGGTGGGCAGTTCTTGCTGTTTGTGGTGGTGGTGGTGGTGGTTGTTGTTGTTGTTGTTGTTGTTGTTGTTGTTGTTGTTGGTGTTGTTGTTGCGCGGCGGCGAGCAGCGGAGATCTTGTACAAGTGCCCTACGATAAGACAGCAATCTAGCCATCAAACGGCCTTGTTGAGCCTGTTACCCACGGGGAACTCATCATCGCTCCTGCCGCATGCTTCTTCAGTGACCTGTGGTACAGAGAAAACGCCCTATAAATCAAGAACCTTTTTGAGTAAAAAACTCGGGGCTCGAGAAGATATATGAAGTATTTAATTCACAAGTTGACCGCGACACAGGTGCTCACTCAATAAGCCTACCCTCAATAGTAAATACCTTTTTAATTTCCTAATGTGTGTCGGCGTCGGGTTGCGTGTGTAGTTTTTATCGCCCCACGGAGAAAGTAAGAAACGAGCCTTTGGCAAAATAAGTATGACATTCCCACTGGCACGTACTCTGTCTGCAGCATTTTTGCATACAATAAAAAAAAACAGTCATTCCCCATGACGTGCTGATCATTCCCCATGACAATCATTCCCCATGACGTGCTGATCATTCCCCATGACGTGCTGATCCTACGGCCGTCCGAAAGTGTAAGGAGAGTTGCATGTTGCCGTTCCTCTGGAAACCATCTTGCGATTTTTTAACCTATTAATAACATTACAACAGAGAGTATCTGTCGTCCGTGGATCAAAGACCAGGTTGTTTCGCGACGGATTCTAACACGACCAACAGCAGTGTTTACTGTTTGTTTTGTCATCACTTCAAATCAGCGCCTACAGCATTCGTGCCACGTGCTCCAACCCGTGGTCACACAGAAGGGTCTCCCTCTCCCTGACCCCTACCCACCCCCCCTGCAGTGCTGTGCCGTCAGTGCCATGGCATTTATTATGTCTTTTTGCATTCATTCTAATTGGCTATCTATCTATCTATTATGCCGTTCGTCCTGGGTTGCCGATCATGCTGTGTCTGTCGGTTACCAGGCACCGCACGCACGCACGTTTATTTAGTACTCACTGCGATGTAAATAACGTTTTGTTCTCCAGTGCACCAACAGGTTAGGTAGGACATGATCACCCAACAGACAGACAACTGGTTCTTCCTAACTCCCACCACTACTTACTACTCCGTTTACAAGTAGTACTTTTTTTTATTGTTGGCATCCGGTAGGTAGGGTGCATATATATGATGCCACACCCCATCGACCGATTTTAAAAGCCCGTTTACTCTAGAGCACAAAGAGTGACGGTGCCGAAAGTGGCGGCGTTGGGACCGTCCCGTCGAGAGCTTTCCGAAAACGTTTTTGTGTGATGATGATGATGTGGACGACACCCACCCTCCTCGTCGTCATACTCGACCTTTTTTGAAAGTCGGCCCAGGGGATGTGTGGTATTTTGTGCAACGTGCTACGTTGTTCACATTTGTCGCGTTGGCGCAGACCAAAATAGGGAGTTTTGATCCGTTGACCATATAGAAGTGCAAAGCCACCCGATGCAAGTGAGCATGACTGTACTCAAAAGAATCATTTCTATAGGTCAGTCTCCGCTTTGTTTATCCAAAACAAGGCAAACCCACCGATTCCGATGAGGACGTGAAAGTTGGCAGAGCAGTGATGGTTTTCAGTGTTTGGACATGCCCTGTGCTGTCTAGCTCTGATTCGATGACCTGCGTCTTCTTTTTCGAAAGAAAGCGACTCTGCCGACGATCCTGAGGAACGGTGTAGCATACCACCCATCATCATTATTATCAACCAAACGACACGCACAACACACAACTCTCATACAGATACGTTCCACGTGACTATAATATATATACACCACACACAAGGTGCACACACCTCCTCTCCCTCGCTACTACTGCTGCCTGCTGCTGGTGTAGTTCATAACGTTTTTTTCTTCGCTGCGTGTGTGCGTCGGTCCGCTATTCTGTCTTCTTGCTGTCTGTGTGTGTGCGCGTCAGGTGCGCATGCCAACGAATCCCCAGAGAGTGCGGGCCGCGGCGAGCGCTGCCGCTGGGACGGCCTTCAGTGTCACGAACGCGATAATAGACAAGGGGCTGAACTTTATTGAACGTTCTTCAAAGGAGTAGGGAGCGACGGCGGGGCTGGCTGTATATACATCTCGGTGTGGTCGTATGGACTGCTGTTTTGTAGTGTGGTGGTTCAGCAGTGGACAGCAGTAGTGAACACGCAGTCGTGGTCTTCCCACTGGTGATTGAAGGAACCTTTCAGTTGTTTTCTGGGTGTCTGTAGGAACACTCTCGATGCGAGTCCGACGTTCGTATCATCCAGGGGTAGGCGTCTACGCTGACGTGGCTGACGTGGCTCCAGGCAAAGCGGGTGTGCCGATTGTGACACAGGTTTACTGCTGTAGCACTCCTGCGACTGACTGCTGCTGCTGCTGCTGCTGAGGCTGTTGTGTCCTGGACGAAAGAAACGTGGAAAAAACTGTCAACTTGCGCAAGCCCGGCTGCCGGGTGTACGCGCCCCTTGCGACCTGATGAAGTGAACCCCATGGAGCCTGTCTGCCAAGACTGAAAATTATCCTCCTTCCCTGGTGTGGGGGTGTGGCGTACGCAGACACGCCGAGTCACGACAGCAAGCAGTAGAAAGACCCGTGTGTAGTCCAGGTCTCCAAGAACGGTGACCACCATATTTTGAACATCGCGTTCATAGTGCGAGTGGCCTAGGAGGAAGAAGGGGGTGGGCTCTCGTTTGATTACAAGACGGAAGACGGGAGAGAGAGGGGGGGGGGGGGCACCCCCACTGGGCGTTTAACCCCCCCCCAAGCAGCTGCAGACAGAATGTGGGGCCCGAAAGCCAGAAACCACGAGTAACGAGACCAAGAGACGAAGGATTCGGTATAACCGTGAATCCGTGGTTTGTGGAAGCGTACCGGAAATTTCGTGAAAGAGCGGCGAGAGACAAAAAAGGGTACACGGGGGTATAGCTATGTACCGGATACAAAAAAAAAAGAGAGGTTGGCAAAAACTTTTGGGATCCTTGGGAAACCCAAGACCTCGAAGGGAAAAACGTTGCATCGCCCG